CTATCTATCTATCTATCTATCTACGTACATACATACATACATACAGGGGATTCTTGCTCTGTCTTTCCATGAGTTTAGGGGTCACAGACTGAAAAACGTTGAAGACCCCTGATTTAAAAGAATTAAAAGTGACTGAAAGCACAAGGTTCTTTCAGTTGARAGTATGGCCGACTGTACAGCCTGAGTTGATGCTCCCTCTGCTAGGTCAGAAGTCACAGGCAGACACTCTTTTACTGCGCTCAAACARGCTTTCAGAGAACATTTATTTAAAAGAGGCTACTATGATTCGTTGCTGTCACTAAAGCTGCTGATGAGAGCAGCYTGAGTTACAGAATGGCTCCTCCCTCTTATTACTGTATGTCTTTTTAGGGTTTTAAGTTTTAAAATKATCTGACTGTTATCAAAGTTGTATCTCTACTGCTGCATACTTTTAGTCAGTCTTTGTGCCAACACAGAAAGTTTACATCTGAAGGGAGTTCGGCTCTGGTGTTTGACTTAAGAACCCCGCAGCTGGGTGGTCCTCGAAGGTGTCAGTCTGCGCTACACCAGCCCACCTGTTCAGGAGCTGACAGTAACGGATGCGTTACCTTGCTCGTAGGAACAGAGGCGCTATGGAGGTGGGGTGTTTCAGTCCCCCCTCTCCACCTTCATGTGTCTTATGAATGGCCTGCTCAGAAGACACTTGAGTAACGATATGAGGTGTCTGCCTGAGCTGTTAGATTAATCTGCTAATTATAAAACTGATGTTTCTTCTACAACAATGCAACATGGCAGAGCATCAGAATGCAGGACCTTTACCCTGAATTTGATACAAACTCTTGTTTTCCCAGGTGATGTTGGAGTCTACAATTAGCAGGTTTTGAGTTTTGATGATTTTGTTGCAGTGCCACAGCTCTACAGGATATTGTTGGTGTGTGGACAGTAGAGGACAGGAGAAACCAGGAACCAGGACTCCACCTGGTACCGCTTCTTTAGACTGTGATGCTACAGGTATAGCATTTTTTCTTAGAATAACTTAAAAGAAAACACATTGATGGGTGTGAATGTAAAATACATTTTATATTTTGTTTTACAGACGAGACAGAACCTCTTAAAACTCAGTGTGAGCACCACAGGGACAGCGTTCAGACCACCAGTCCAGATGGACATCCTCTTGATGGAGCTTATGTCCCTCAGTGTGACGGAGAGGGACAGTACACACCACTTCAGGTCAGGACTTAATGATTAATAATTGAAATTGAATAATTAATTAATTAATAAAGTGTTAAACCTCTCCTGAATGCTGTGAACCTTTTACAGTGTCATGGTTCTACTGGACATTGTTGGTGTGTGGACAGTAAGGGACAGGAGAGACCAGGAACCAGGACCCCACCTGGTACACCTCCAGTAGACTGTGATAAACCAGGTGTGTAAGACAAACGCACGTCACTGGACAGATGTCTGCAGTTTCAGCGTCAGCAGGTGGATTATGTCAGGTCCTTCTGAAGRTTGCTTGTTAAACGCCGTCCTGTGAACCCTTTAACTCTTCAGCCCGCTGACAGCTCAGACAGCATGTTTATGTGAGCTCTGGGAGTTGTGCGCTGTTGGGGTCACCAGGTCAGAGCTTTGGAATGACTYGAGAAACAGGTGGGGACAGCTGAGTGCTGTTGGAAGGGGAAGAAAGACAGTAGAAAGAGGTCAGAGATTTAAAACAAGGATTATAATGRCTGTATGGCCCCATGCTTGGTTGTTCTCACAGTGGGTTGCAAAAGTTTTCATCTGCTTGTTTTGTTGCTTTACAACCAATAATTATTTAATAATTTAAAAAAATGCTAAATACTACAAATACAGTATACTGTATGAAGTTAAATGGAGAAAAAAAACTTTATTACTTATAATGAAATAAAAAAATGTGGCYTTTGTATTCACCCCTTAACTTTAAAACCCTGACCCAGATACATTTGTTGCTACTCTTCCAAAACCCTTCAGTTTTTCCCATCAGTCCTGAAAACTTTGGTTCTTGTAAAGGTGCATTCTGGTGAATTCTAGTCTTAATTTTTGCCCTGAGACTTTGTCCATAAAGCCAATAATGATCCAGTTCAGGAAGTGAGCTTGGGACAGAAGCAACTCCTGAGCATATTCATTTCCTGAATCAAWATCAACACAAACGTTACAATTTGTGACACATTTACTGTGAAAAATACAGACGTTACTTCTTTAATCAGTTATTTGTGCAAAAAGTTGTCCCCACCTCCCCCCTCCCCCCCGCAGGTTGTAACTCGTGAAAATGAGCCCTTCCTAATATATAAATACACAGTGCGTCGGCCTGTAATGCCCTATCCACGAGAAGGGGTAATCTGCGGAATCAAAGTGGGCGTGTCACAAGCGTGGGCGTGTCAAAAGCATAAATACTGTGGGCTACGAGGCCTACATGACGGCATCCTTAGACCCTGCTTGACCTCTATACAGCCTGACCCTGACCCCAACACTAAGGTTAACCAGGAGAAATGTGACCCAAGTAGGGTTCTCCAGAAAAAGTGGTGCCGTACAGTAACGCCCCTTTTGTTCTTGTCCAATCAGGTGGTGCCGTACAGTAACGCCCCTTTTGTTCTTGTCCAATGAGGTGGTGCCGTACGGTATCGCCCCTTTTTTGCTTGTCCAGTTAGGTGTGTCCCTTTAACAAAGTCCGTCAAATCAGGTGTGTCGCTTTAGAATCGCRTTTTGTTGTGACACGCCCACTCGTCCGTACTCGTCCGCAAAGACCCCTACTTGCTATCCACAGTATTCGTGATTTCGCGCCACTACCCATAATTCATAGCGGAAGCGGGTTCCATATTTCGGTCTGGTTGTTGTTTACAATTACGTGGATACACCGTCGCTGTTTATCAAAGCATTTTTCATTGAAATTTGGCGTAGATGGCCACATATCGGAGGTGTAGAACACTGTAAGGATGTTTTAAAAAGCTGCAAGGACAATTCTTTATCAGTGGCTCAGCTGTCACTGCTCACAGACTGATGAAGCTATGTCCCGATGTTAGCCAATAGCTACTACTGACTTCAACTACCTCGACATTCCCCGAAGACACACACATGCAAAATCATAAAAGTCAACTGTTGTGGTTGTACAATGTTCATAAGCCCCTCAGAATTGTAATAATTTTATAAGTATTGTGATTAGATATTTTCTTCCCCCTTATCCTAAACATACAATTCACTGGGTGCTAGTTCGCTAGTAACTTTTTGAGATGAACTGGAGGGTTTTATACAGCTACAGTCATTTTAAATAAATGATAAACAAAAATAAATAAAGTGCCTCCAATAACTTTTTAAGCACATTTTTTATTTAAACAAACCAGACACTTTTACAGTCCCTGGGCGCTAAGCTCCTCGTCTTTTAATCCTGTCATGATGTAAAAGAGGATTGTTTTTTATTCCGAGCTTACTCAGAACTGAAACAGTTAAATTAAGACATTTATATAGTTTTGCCAGCATGTGGCTACTAACTATAGGCATAATATTTCTTTAAATTTAAGATTAGCTGCTAATAGCATGCTAAAAAATCAGGCTATTCACCATAGGCTTTCATTCAGTAAAAGCAAAGAACTGCACGATTAAATAACAACAGGGGACACACAACGTTTACAGTTTAACTCACCAGGTACAGATTCAGTGTTTTAGTTGATATTACTGGAAGCTGTTTGACTCACAGTGGTTCAGACGAGACGCCTTCGGTAACCAGCCTTAGCCCAGATAGAGCTCTGAATCGGAGTGAATATTTGTGGGATTTTTGTAGATAAAATGAAAAAAGCAAGCAAACTCTCTTTGGATTTTTCAGATTTAACGCTGCAGCCATGTTAGTTTACTATCCTCCTTCGTTGGCATAAAGTGCAGTTTTTAGGGCGTTATGCCTTTACTACTACTTGTTCCAGCCAAAATGTTTCTAAAGCCTTTCTCASTTTTCTTCAATTGTTGTGGCAGCCGACAAAAACACAAGATGAACACCAACTCGTGATTGAACTGCTCAAGCCGCCAGTTAAAGCAAAAACAAACTGAATTTGTTCTTATTATAACTATCTGAATGAATGAATTTCTTGCGCACCGGAAAAACCGAACAGTCGGGACGGCTGTGGGCGGGGGCTAGTGACTGTCATGGCAGCCTACATGTGCATTTCCAGAAACTTGTGGATAAATGTAAACAAAAGAAAAAAAATAGAGAATGAATCATTAAAACCCATTTTAAATTCCATTAAATTGTTGAAAAACATACTGAACAAAACAATACACAAGCRAAGTAAATGAACAATTTACATTGTTTATTAGGAGGAACTACTTTATGGGGTGAAGTAATTTAGTTTGAATTCTGTCCTTATGAACCGGACGCGCCTGCCTTGGGATTCAGCTTTGAATAGATTCAGATGGTTTCTTCTGCTTTTTTCCCACCATCTGCACGATCTGTCTGACCAACCTAGGGTTGCATTTGCTCTTGCATCCACATCCTGGGAGTTGGCTACAATCTAATGAAGCTTGTACTTTTTATTAATATTGTTAGCCCTGTTTGTAGGGAACATGAAGCAATGTGATGGTCTTTTAGCTTTTATCTTTGCCATCTACAATCTTCTCTCTGAGCTCCTCAGACAGCTCTCAACTTTGTTTTCTCTGGCTGAGCTCAACCTTAGAGTCAGGGTAAGAACCTTGGAGTACAGCTCCACCCCGTTGATAAGAGTCAGCTGAAGTGGTTTGGTTGTTCAATCAGGGTGACATCTCCTTTTGGAGGTTATTTTGGCACAAAGCCATTGGGAGGAAACAACGGGGCAGACTCACAAGAAAAAAATGTGTCTTTCAGCTAAAAACTTTTCTTGGAAGGCATCCAGAAAATATCTTTACCAGATACTGAAGCACCTCAGTGAGTCTATCTAATCTGCAAAGGAAGCTCATTTCAGCCACTTAGGTTTCAAATATTATTCTTTGTTCATAGCTGAATTCAAATTGATTGGTAAATTAAGATCTTTGCATCTCTGCAAAGACTGATACTGATTTAATTCAAGTATTCTTTTTACCCTCTGAGGTACTTGAACCTGGAGCTGGTAATACACATTTGGTCATAAACATCCAAAATTAAAAACGATTTTATATTGGATTATTGTTTATTCTGTATAAATTATTCTGGCTAAACGCTAAATCTTATGTTTAATACATGTCTTCTATCCTCTACATTTTATTTCTGACGTTCCTTATAAACAATAGAGCGTCCCAAGACTCAGTGTGAGCACCACAGAGACAGTGTTCAGACCACCAGTCCAGATGGACATRCTCTACTTGGAGTTTATGTRCCTCAGTGTGATGAACATGGACATTATCATCCACAGCAGGTTGGCATTTCTTCAAATTTTTCTTCATTGTTTCTCCAGCATTCAAATTATAGTTTGGGGTTCTTTGAAGTGAGGTTCTTTGGAGAGGTTCTGAATAAACATGTTGCCGTAGTAAATCTGAATTTTCCATTGAATTTATTTCACAATGCAGTAGTGTCATGTATGACAACATGAACTTTCATTACTTTTATAGTGCCATGGTTCAACAGGACATTGTTGGTGTGTGGACAGTAGGGGACAGGAGCAGTAGGGGACAGGAGAGACCAGGAACCAGGACTCC